CCCCTCACAGTCTGGGTCCTCATTTCACCCCCCTCGGACGGGTGGAAGGCTGAGTCAACCTTGAGCCGGTGAGATTTGAACAGCCGAACTGCAGAACTGCAATCAGCTGAAGTAGCCTGCAGTGCTGCATTTAACCACTGCGCCACCTCGGCTCTTTTAGCACAAGACGACCAGTTGTATTGGGCCAGCTCTCACAAAACATGGCTTGAGCCTTAACTACAGCTCTTGCCATCCCTTTGCCCCAGAAGCTCTCACAAAATCTTTTGCTGCAGAGAAAATCATGGGACAAACTAGGCTTCCTAAACTAACCCAGACTGGAGATTTACCCGTCAAAAGCAAATCGTCACCGGTCTAAGCAAAAAATGATAAATCTGAATGCAATCATAATTGAACGGGTTTTTTTTTAATGTTGTACGCTGCCCGGAGTCACTGTGTATGAGTTGGGCAGCGATATAAATGTTTAATAAATAAATAAAATAAAATATATCCTATTGGTTCAAACTACCTTTCTATTGATGAAATAATGATTATCGTAATTATTATTATCAGGAAAATTTTCTAAGAATGCAGGGTGGGAGAAGAATTACAGTAGTCCTCCTTTCTTCCCTCTGCAGCCACTCCCTCTCTTAAGCATTTATTCCAGAGAGTGGATGGTTCTCAGTGCAGGAGGAAGAGCTGCAAATCTGAAAATATTCCTTTCGTTTCGTTTATGCTTCCTTTGTGAACTACTCCCTGAGAGATAATCAACCATTTTGTTTTCTTTTTAAAAGTTTGATTCAATTAAGGTATGAGAGTGGCCTGACTTTACTCAACAGTGGAAAATGAATTGACACATGCTCAGAGGCACATCCTACTCTATGTTCTACAGCTCAATGACCACATTCTGAACAGTGGAGAGTTAAATCCTTATTCAAAGCAAACCGTGATTTTTTTTTCCTCATCTCTTGGCTACCTCAGCATCTCAGGGTCCACCTCTCCAGCAGCTTCCTCCTCTGCGCCCAGCTCTTCTTGGGGTTCGAATCCTCCTTCGGGGGCCCAATAACGATTCGGCAGTGCTCTGGGTGGAGAGGAGCCACCTGCCAAGCCAGTCTCATCGTACTCGGGGTACAAGGTTGCCCCCTTGGCCTCATCCCACAGCCTCAGCAGATTCGCCAGGTAGACAGATTCCTGGTCCCGGCGATGCCCATCCTGAAGGAGGCGCTGCAAAGCACGGGCCAGGTGCTTGTCTGGCTGGAACTGGTTGTTAGGTGGGGATACCGCTCTTTCAAGGGCCTGGGCCATTCGCTCATCCGCCAGCTGGTTCCCGGAAGAAGCCAACGCTCGTTCCAAGGCTTGGGCAAAGTGATCTTCTTGTAGCTGGCTACCCGGAGTCGACAGGGCCCTTTCAAGGGCAGCCAGCTGAACCAGTTCCGGGTAATACACTTCATTGGCCAAGGCGTTCTCCACGGCCTCATATGGTGCCCCCTGAAGCTCACGGCGCACCCGCCGGACCCCCCCTGGCAGGTTGTGATTCATCCCTCCATGGGAGCTACCTGTGGTGGGCAGAGGCTGCAAGAAACAGGGAAGATGATTGACAGGAAGTGAATAAATATGGACAGGCAGCAATCAGGCTGGGGCCAGGCAGGGAGGGAGATAATTAGATCATTCCTGCTGTGGACTCGGAGCTGGGTCTTTGGCAATGGATTCACTTCACATCAATATAAAACAGCAGAAAACATCCCCATCATATACTGAGCATAAGTAGCTCAGCACACAAGAAGTGTAATTAAAAATAAAGGCAAGCTTCAATCTGATCGTAGGAAAGCATTTTAAATCTTATTGATTTTGCCAGAGAAGAGCATTTAATTTGCTTGTTGAAATAAATCGCTATTTTTTTTTAATCTTTGTTATATATACACATGAATTTTAATTCTATCCTTCTCCAGGGAGCTTAAAATGGCATGAGATTCCACTGTTATTTTATTCTCTTGAAGTAGGTTAGACCAAGAGCTAGCAGTTGGACCCAGCAGGAGGACTTGCAAGTAATCACTGGAAAAAGGAACCACATTTATTTAATTTTAAATAAATGAACAGAAGGATGGATGGACAGAAACATAACTAAACATACAGACACCTCAAAATCAATCTCATTTGCCCCCTGATGCATAATAGATAATAGTTGGCTTATTCTAACGTTTGTAGTGACTTACAATCAGAGAAATGACTGCACGTATTAACATATAGTCACAGAAATGCAAAACAAAAGCTATTTTTCAGTGCTTTAGTAATGTAAGTATTTCTATGGCAAACGCTAATTTTTGTAATCATTTTTAATTGGTCATCATGATGAAGACTGGCTGTCACTGACAGAGGTTATTGTCTATTTATTATACAATTTATAAACAACCCTATAACTGAAGTTCTACTGATGTTATCAAGACTTTAAAAAATACAAATACAATAAGAGAGAAAGGGAGAGAGACGGAGCTTAATCTTATTAACCATTTGTTCTCTCTCTCTCTCTCTCTACACACACACACACACACACAAAACACATGGCCACAAACACATGTAAACTCTGTAGAAACACAGCCTGATTCCACTCAAACAATATCAAGATGATCTATGAAAAACACACTCTCCTCTCAGCCTCTGATTATTATCCTTCCCATTTATCATCTTCCTCTCTGTATCCAGTGGCCCAGTTTTCTGTAGAGTTAAGTCTGATTAGATTCTTCCAAAGTCACGACAAACCTTCCAAGACCTTTGAAAATAAAAGAAATGTCCTGATCCATTGAGCTATTTGTATCTAAAGAGCTGTCAATTTTTTTTTAAATCGGAAAAATTAACCTGAGCCTCAGCCCAGCAGGGATGAAAAGAAAAGCAGGGGAAGAGAGCATCTGGGGGAACGGGGAAGGAAGTCCTTTTCCCACAAAAGGACAGCCAGGCATCTCTGCGGAGAACCATGTAGAAATCTGTGAGGACGCCAAAGAGACTCTGCAGTCCTCCTGCAGGGTTTAGTCACCCACCCGCCGGCAGGAGGGAAAATTAGGAAATCTTGGGTTAAATCAACGCGTCAAAGGATTGCATGGTTAAATCAAACGTGGTCCTGACCTTTCAGGGTAAAAGCCAGCCTTCCACGCATCAAGTTGATGTTTTGCTACCACTCAGCAATCTGCCTTTGCTTTCAGCCGCTCTGGTTTCCCCCCCACCCCACCCCAATCCAAGGCGAAGATGAATCAGTCATGACGCCAAGAGCAGGGATGGTGGCAAGGGACTCGGTGCTTACATAAAGCATCCATGACGGCATCGCAGAACATGTCTCTTTGCTCCTCCATCCCACATATGTATTCCATGCTGCACCTTTTTTTTAAAAAAACAACAGGCACCTTTCTATTAACACGCCTGGACACCTTACCCTTATCAGGGAAATATACGCACCCATTGGTCTTATAGACACAATGCTTTTTACATAGTCGCCTGTCACGCCCCTTCTATAAAAGTCGGATGTATTCACAATTTGCCCCCTTTAACGCCCAATTAAGAGTCACTTGTTAAGATGGGCAACTATAGAAGCCAAATACATTCATAAATAAAGGCTCACCCTTTTTTTGCACATATGAGAGTGCTTTGCACCATTCTTTTGCAAACACCCTCCTCCCTCCCCACCCACAGTTCAATCCTGGCACAGCCACACAGATAATTGGTAAACTTTGCTTGTCCTCCCACCCACAAGTACCCCACACTCAGAAGCCCTGTGAAACATAACCCAGCGGCTTCCCACAGGCACATGTGTGAATCCCTTGCACAACCAGTGACTTCACCGGGTAGGTGGGTGAAAAACAGACATTTATGATTCACGGTGCTTTATACTTTCCTACGACAAAGGTCCAGGCGCGCGCACACACACTCATACACAGAAGGGGCAGCTAGATGTCCTTCGCAGTTTGAAATTGCTCGAAGAGAAGTATTAGACATATCTTGTACGTAGACTGGCGTCTGGTCTTCCATAATTCCTGCTTCCTCCGAAAAATCAGGACTTCAGTCACCCATCACAACGTGGAAGTCTCCCTTGGTTTGAGACTTTCTGATGAGCCCAGCTCTGAATTGGGGACTATGTGGTTTAACAGACCCTCCAGCATTGCTCCACTTTATTTTGCTATGCTCAATCCCCCAGATCGAATCCTGGGAATCTGGACAGAAGCGTGTTAGGAGAAGCAGGAATACAGATGCGCCACAAAGAGGCTGACAGGCGACTCAAGTAAGGAAGCCAAGCCGCAAACTAGGGACGATTACTAAGCCCCCCCAAATGAGGGAGGGAAACAAAAGAGAAATCCCCCGTTAGCCTACCGCCAAAGTAAGGGCTACTTGACGGGGAAACAATTCCCCCTTCTATCTTTGGCTCCCTTGGGCGCAGATAAATGCACAGCTCAGCGCAATCGCGTTTCACACGGCCAGCCTGCGCGTCGGACTCAAGTCAACGCGTTTTGAGTTCGCATCTCCTAACTACCTACCTTGGCGGCTCCGAGGCTCGAAAGCAGCGCGAGCAGCAGCGCCGGGCCCATCGCTCCCGAGTCCCTTCGGGAGGTAGAGGCTGCCCGGATGGCGGCGGCGGCGACAGCAAGCGAACGACGGAGCCGAGCGCGGTGTGCAACCAGCCCAGCGGACCGCGCTAGACAAGTGCCAGCGGCTCCACCCAATCGCCCCGCCCCGCCGGCTTTGGCTCCGCCCACACCCATTACTCAGTTTCCCCCCCAGCAGCGGGCAGGCAGATGGGGGCGGGAAGGTAAGGAGACGCGTGATGGCCTGTATCTTTCTCTTGGAACCCGCGAAGAGCGCTTCTGAGCACGGGCAGAGTGCAGGCGTTTCCCACTGAGCAATCTGCCTTGAGGCCTTTTTCCCTGCTTGCCATCTAGAAAGCCCTGTTCCTGGGCGCGTGCAGAGTGCACTCCTTTCCCACTGAACAATCTGCCTTGAGGCCTTTTTCCCTGCTTGCCATCTAGAAAGCCCTGTTCCTGGGCGCGTGCAGAGTGCACGCCTTTCCCACTGAACAGAGTGGCG